CTTATACATCCCATAGTCACCAAGGACCGCCGAGAGAAGAAAGTTCCTGAGGATGACGATGATGATGACTTTACCTTGCCTGAGGGTGTTGAGCCATTGCTGAACGAGACTCCAATCTATACTGATACTACTGCTGCTGGTATTTCCCTGTTGTTTGCCCCACGCCCATTTAACATGAGATCTGGTCGGACAAGGCGTGCTGAAGATATACCCCTTGTGTCAGATTGGTTTAAGGAGCATTGGTATGGTTTCCATCTTCACTTTTACTTTTGCTATAGCAAGTTAATCATTATACTGTAAATGTGTTTAACTATCTATTTTGGTTTCCTCCAGTCCTCCATCATATCCTGTCAAGGTGCGTGTCAGTTATCAGAAGCTACTGAAATGTTTTGTGTTGAATGAGCTGCATCATAGACCTCCCAAGGCCCAGAAGAAGAAGCATCTTTTCCGCTCACTTCAGGCCACAAAATTTTTCCAAACCACAGAACTTGATTGGGCTGAAGCTGGTCTCCAAGTTTGCAAGCAGGGATACAATATGCTGAATCTCTTGATCCATAGGAAAAACCTGAATTATCTTCACCTTGATTACAATTTTAATTTGAAGCCTGTTAAGACACTAACTACAAAGGAACGTAAGAAATCCCGGTTTGGTAATGCTTTCCACCTTTGTCGTGAAATTCTGCGTTTGACAAAGTTAGTTGTTGATGCCAATGTTCAGTTCCGTCTGGGAAATGTTGATGCATTTCAGCTGGCAGATGGATTGCAATACATTTTTTCACATGTGGGTCAGTTGACGGGTATGTACCGTTACAAGTACAGGCTTATGAGGCAGATTCGAATGTGTAAGGATTTGAAACATTTGATCTATTATCGATTCAATACTGGGCCAGTTGGAAAAGGTCCTGGTTGTGGTTTCTGGGCACCTATGTGGAGGGTGTGGTTATTCTTCCTTCGGGGTATAGTGCCTCTTCTGGAACGATGGTTGGGAAACTTACTGGCGAGGCAATTTGAGGGTCGTCATTCGAAGGGGGTGGCCAAAACTGTCACAAAGCAACGTGTTGAAAGCCACTTTGACTTGGAGCTCCGTGCTGCAGTAATGCATGATGTCCTTGATGCTATGCCAGGTGATAATCTTCTATCATTGATTGTCCATCTTTCTTGGGATGCTTTTGTTTCTTTACTTTACTCGGACCGAATCTTTTTGCTAATATAGTGCCTCTTTACTGTAGAGGGTATCAAGCAAAATAAAGCGAGAACCATTTTGCAGCATCTAAGTGAAGCATGGCGTTGTTGGAAGGCAAATATTCCTTGGAAGGTACTATTGTTCTCCTTTCCCCCTCTGTAACAATGAGTTTCACTTTAGACTACATATCTATTCAATTAATTTTTTTTGGCTATTTGTTTTATTAGGTCCCAGGTTTGCCTGTTCCTATTGAGAACATGATTCTTCGTTATGTCAAATCAAAAGCTGATTGGTGGACAAATGTTGCTCACTACAACCGTGAACGTATAAGAAGAGGAGCAACTGTTGACAAGACTGTGTGTCGTAAAAACCTTGGAAGATTGACTCGCCTTTGGCTGAAGGCTGAACAGGTGAGTTTTACTGATATTGTCTGTGGGTTTCTTTTACTCAGAAAAGTGCATTGGTTTTATAACATCTGCTTATTGGAGATAAGCTTGGTGGTAATTCATGTTGCTTTGTGATTTCCTTCAATTAACAGGAGCGGCAACATAACTACTTGAAAGACGGCCCATATGTTACTCCAGAAGAAGCAGTAGCTATTTATACTACCACTGTGCATTGGTTGGAGTCGAGGAAGTTTTCTCCTATTCCATTCCCTCCATTGTCATACAAGCATGACACGAAGCTACTTATCCTTGCCCTTGAGAGACTGAAAGAATCTTACAGTGTGGCTGTGAGGTTAAACCAACAGCAAAGGGAAGAGTTGGGCCTCATTGAGCAAGCTTATGATAATCCGCATGAGGCATTGTCAAGGATTAAGCGTCACCTGCTTACTCAGCGTGCCTTCAAAGAAGTAAGTTTCACTGTTTGAAATACATGTTTGAGTGTTAAGGAGCTCAATGTACTGATTTGGTGGGAGCAACTATGATCTTGTCGCATTATCCTAGGTTTATAAAGTTTATGTCCTAAGTATTTACTTAATCCAAATAGCCTAAACGAAATTGAGTAATTGCTGAAAGGTCATACAAGAATCAGGGATATCAGATAGTTAGACCACTCGTGCTACTGCTGCCATACCACGGTCCAGTTGGCCCATAATTTTGCACACAGAAATTTGGTATCATGTAAATTCTGCTGAAAAAACCTAGGTCTATGATATGTTGGAGAAAATCCTTGCTAGGATTAAATTTATATTGGAGTTACCTCTGTGTGTGTGTGTGTGCGTGCGTGCGTGTGCGTGCGTGTGTGTGTGTATTAGTTAATTGAAATTTGGGTTAGAGAAACAAGATAAGATGTGTGCTCTGATCATTTCCTGGAAGTTGCTGAAGAGAGCCCTGCTTATTTAGTTTGGTAGTCTCTGTAAGAATGTTTTTCTTTAAGCATGGACTGATGATTGCATTTCACAGGTTGGCATAGAGTTCATGGACTTGTACAGTTACCTGATTCCTGTTTATGAGATCGAACCACTTGAGAAGATTACTGATGCGTACCTGGATCAGTACCTATGGTATGAAGGTGATAAGCGCCATCTTTTCCCAAATTGGATTAAGCCTGCCGATTCAGAGCCACCACCACTATTAGTGTATAAATGGTGTCAAGGCATAAACAATTTGCAAGGAGTATGGGACACCAGTGAAGGACAGTGTGTGGTGATGCTGCAGACGAAGTTTGAGAAATTCTTTGAAAAGATTGACCTGACCATGTTGAACAGGTATTTGTTGTTGAGAGCTGCTGGTACTTAGAAATTCTTTTCTTTTTTGGGTATTGCATTAACCTACTTTAATTTTTTTGTAGGCTTCTGCGTTTGGTGCTGGACCACAATATTGCTGATTATGTTACTGCAAAAAACAACGTTGTGCTGTCTTACAAAGATATGAGTCACACAAATTCATATGGGCTAATACGTGGTCTTCAATTTGCTTCATTTGTTGTACAGTACTATGGGCTTGTGTTGGATCTCTTGCTCCTAGGTTTAACTCGAGCTAGTGAAATTGCTGGTCCACCACAGATGCCCAATGAATTCATAACCTTTAGTGATACTAGAGTGGAAACGAGGCATCCTATCCGGTTGTACTCTCGCTACATTGACAAGGTGCATATATTATTTCGCTTCACTCATGAAGAGGCTCGGGACCTTATCCAAAGATATCTTACTGAGCATCCTGATCCCAACAATGAAAACATGGTTGGTTATAACAACAAGAAATGCTGGCCAAGGGACGCAAGAATGAGGCTCATGAAGCATGATGGTAATTGTCATATATGCTATTCTATGTTGTGCCTTAATTTTGAGCTTCTGTAATTGGTATTTTTTTCTGATTACAGGTAAATTTAATGAGAGTTGATTTATTTTCATTGTACTGTGAAACTTGACTTTCTTTTTGGTTAAATTCAAATTTCAGTTAATCTTGGGAGAAGTGTCTTCTGGGACATGAAGAATCGGCTGCCTAGAAGTATTACTACATTGGAGTGGGAAAACAGCTTTGTCTCTGTTTATAGCAAAGATAACCCAAACTTGCTCTTCAGCATGTACGTACATCTTTCTGTTTGTTGTCTGTTATAGCTTTTTTGCATGGTGATATCTATTTAGAGAATCCTGTTGAGTACTCGAATGATATTTTTGCGGGTGGGTAGTGATGGGGACTGGATAATTCCATATTTTGAATTCTACCCCAGAATCCATTGTGTCTAATATCTTGGGATAGGAGTTAGAACTTATTTGTGTCTTAATCTTCCTAATTTTAGACCTGCTAAAGGTTCACCGGAATATTCATCCGCGATGAGCTGTTTACGGCTTACTCTTTATTAAAGGGAAGTGTTGATGATCTTATTTAATGAGCTAACCTTGATATGATTATGTAGGTGTGGATTTGAAGTTCGGATACT